AAAAGCTGTCAACAGACAAAATGTAGATCTCAATGAGAGCTATCGATTGGGATAAAAATTGTTTCGAAATTTTGTTGGATTATTTAAATAGAGTCTTTCTTCCGTCTTCCGTCTTCCGTGTGCCAGACGGAAGACGGAACACGGAAGAAACGCCATATCTCAACTCCCCATCACTATTATGAGATAAATTTTATACCAATAAATAACTCTCATTGAGATCTACATTTTGTCCGTTCACAACTTTTTGGTAGCATTTTTCATTTTGAAAATAAACCGTCTTCCGTAAATTTCCGTAAATCTCTTCCGCTCATCTCTGTTGGGAACGATCGATGTTGATTTTTTTTAATCAAAACTATGAAAATCTGTTAAAACAGTAAAATTTTTTCAGAGATTTTTTTTTGCTAGTGATAGACGTGGTCTGAAGCAGTGTTGCGCGGAATTCCGACTTCCGACTTCCGACTTCCGACTTCCGACTTCCGACTTTCAGAGTATAACTCCCGGCATAAAAAAATAACTCGAAAATTGAAAAAAGAAGAAATCTGTATAAACGGGGAAATAAAATTTGAATGCGCGCCATTTTGACAAGCAACAACACTCCGACATGACGCTTATGCGAGCGTCATGTCGGAGTGTCGGAGTTTTTAAAAAATTTTTGATTTTTTAACAAATACTTCGAAATTTCAAGATTTCAAGAGATTTTTTTATGTTTTTTAGTGAAAATATATAAATTTCAGACTAATGTCTTCTCGAAAAGTGAAGCCAAAGTACGACGGTGTGTTCCAGAGAAGTGCCGAGTCTGCCGAGTGTCAGTTGTGTCAGAAACGAGTAAAATGCTCGGTAACAAGCGGAATGAACAGTTTAAAGTTTCACTTAGCAAAATGCCACCCGGAAAAATTGAAAGAGGTTGGTAACTACATTTTTTATGCAAACACGAAAAATTTCTTTTTTAACTCAATTTTTTATTAAAGATTTTTACTTTCAAGGATTTGTTGATTTGCCAACCGGCTTGGAATCTGTATTTCCGATTTGAAAATTTTACTCCCCACTTCCGACTTCCGAATTGAAAATTTCACTTCCGACTTCCGACTTCCGGGTACTTTTTCACTTCCGACTTCCGACTTCCGACTTCCGACATGGAAAATTTTACTTCCGCGCAACTCTGGTCTGAAGGTTTTAGAGGTGGGAGGCACATGAAAAAAAACAATTTTCAGGAAATTTCGTTCCCCTCGAGGAGTTGAACTTTTTTCAATTTTTTTTTTCAAAAATTCAAAAATTCTAACTTTCATAATTTCAGTTTCGGGATCTGACTTGACTCGGCCCCCGGCGAGTGTACAGAAAAACTTTCAATATTTTTCGATTTTCTGAAAATTTATGATAATTAGTTTTGCGTTGCTAATTAGATCGGGTTGTTTTCCAGATACCGAGAAAACTCTTAACTGAAAAAAAAACTGAAAACTAAGGCCTCAGAGTTTGGTTGAGGAAATAGTTAAAACTGTTCATGAGAGCGGGGAGGATCCGAAACAGGATTTTGGAAAATTTGTGAAGTCTCGGATCAAAGGATTACTGCAGGGAAACATATTCAAAAATGAGTAAGATTACTGTAGAGGAAAAATTGTCATTTTCTATTTTTTGGGTGTTCACACAGAGTAGCATCGCTCAGCCGCTCAAGCTCAGCGGATGGCGGGTTTATATGTGAACGAAACTTCGAGAAAATTATTTTTTTTTCTGTCTCAAAAAAATGAGTTCGTGTACTTAATGAAATCTTTATTTTTTACAAAAAAAAGCACAGCAGAGAATTATCATTGACACTCTTTCAGTGTCTATTAAGATCCGTGGTTTCATCAAACACTGGAGTGACACAAGTGTAGTGCATTCCTTCAAGATCTCCATTCTCTTTCACATTCGACCAGCGCCCTGTTTTGGTGTCACATTTTCTGTCCATGATTCGAATGTCCTTCTGAAAAACCCTTATCAAATATTAATCTTGATTAACTGAAACTCACGGTAAGAAGATTAATATTGACTTTGTTGTTCTCCATTATGTAGGTCCACTAAAACCTGCTCTCTTTCTGTCTTTATGTCAATTTTTTTCAATCGGAAGACGACGATTCACGTCAAATTCGTCGTGTAAACATGAAACGTAAAACATTGGAAAATAGGGATAGGCAGGGGGGTTTGGAATGGTTGCCTGAAATCGGAAAGAAAGACGAAGAATTGCATTTTTGAATTGGCTTTATTAACGAATGATGTTGATTTTTTTTAATTAGGGTAAACTGTTACAACAGAAATATTTTTCAAGGATCTTTTAAATAACAGTGATAGTCGTGATTTGAAGTTTTCAAATGTCGGGGACATAAAAAAACAACTTTCGTGAAATTTCGTTCATTTCGAGGAGTTGAATTTTGTGGACCTAAATCTGGAGGTGCCGCTCCGCTACCAACTGAGCTACTGTGGCGCAAGCTGAAGCGACTGAAGGATGGGATATATTTATAAAAGCGGCACGACGGCAAAGCTAAGCACTGTAAACCGTCACACTTCTAAACTTCAAAGATCATACCTAACTGAAAGAAATGCAAAAAAGGGAAGTAAATCATACTTGTCAAAAGATGTCTGTCTATTTTCAAATGCTTGATTCAAACTGAATTGTAAAAAAATTACTGTTTCAGAGTTACCATAAAGTTAATGTATTTACTTTTCTCGTTACTATTCTGATGCCTGTTTATAGGAACTTTTGTATTATAAAAACATTCCAGGTTTCTGAAGTTATTCTCAATCAAAAAGAGAACCATGAAACTGCTTCTGGCATTCTGTCTGATCCTTTGTGCTTCAGTTCAGAATATCTCGGGATCGTCGAGTAAGTTTTCAAATTCTTCACTTCATCTTTCAACCATTTCTAATTGTTTCTTCAAAATAGATAATTATATTTTCAGAATGTACAAATGGCTACCCGGACCGCTGTGAACAAGCTTGTGGTTGCCCAATTTACAGTATCGATTCTGAATACATCAAAGCACATGATAAGGAATATTATGATTGGACAAAAGACATGGAGCGTAATGCCTTGTCAAACTTAACATGGCCTGAAGATAGTTGCATTCCGTATAGAGTGAAATGTAGAAGACAAGATGTCTGGGGATGGACAGATTGGACCTACATAATGGAGAATAACAAAGTCAATATTAATCTTCTTACCGTGAGTTTCAGTTAATCAAGATTAATATTTGATAAGGGTTTTTCAGAAGGACATTCGAATCATGGACAGAAAATGTGACACCAAAACAGGGCGCTGGTCGAATGTGAAAGAGAATGGAGATCTTGAAGGAATGCACTACACTTGTGTCACTCCAGTGTTTGATGAAACCACGGATCTTAATAGACACTGAAAATGTGTCAATGATCATTCTCTGCTGTGCTTTTTTTGCAAAGAAATAAAGATTTTTTATAAAAAAGAACATTATCAAAAATTTTGGATAAGTCCGCTATCAACGTTTTCAGGACAGTCGTTTGCAAAGTAACGGTGAACCAGAAGAACACGAAACATCGGTTGATTACAATTAGACCATCTGAAAATAGGTCTACTGTAGTTTCCAAGAGTTTTACTGGTACCTTCATCTAGAAGTTCCCAGTCTTCATTCCTTAGACTGGTCATCAAACACATAGATTTCCCATTTTTACCAGAAATTTAGGTTTCGGGACGTCCAAAGCTAGCTCTTCTCCGTCAATCAACTGAACCTTCCGTACGTTGATAGAGTAGCTTACCCACTTCTCATCTACGGTAATTAGATTATCCACAAACCTGAACGTGCGAAGAAACTATAGGAGAAACATGCTCATGTCTACACTGCGATATATATCGCAGCCCTTCGGAAAATAGAGTACGAATCACTCAATTTTTTGACATTGCCAAGAGACTTCAATCCGCTCACAGTATTTCATTGACTAACGGACAATGCCTATGACATCTTACAAGTGGTTTGAAACGGATCGGTTTCAATAGTATTCTTCCATAGACTGAAGTCCAACTTTTGGACTGATCTTCGTCTTCCGATTCTAAATTTTTGGATTCAAGTTTATCGGTCCAATGCTTGATGGTAGGGACAGTAGGAGATCCTTCTTTGTTTATTCCTTTCAATTTCTTGTGAATATCGTAATTTTTCAAACCAAGGAGAAATAAAAAAATGAAGGCCACTTCTAAAATGTAGACGGTGAGGGATGAAACCAAGCGTCATGCTCGCGAATGACAAGAAGGAGGAATGAGGCAAAGTGTATATAGCAAGTCCGTGAGATACTCTATCCAGCAAAAAACATTAACCAAGAAAAACAATCCCACTGATCAGATATGAATTCTCAAAGTTGAAAACATTGAAGATCGAAAGAAACTTATTTGCCAACCTAATACGTACTATGCAATCCGATTATCATCTGATTATCAATTGATAAACTGAAACATCCACATGTCGATTTGCATTCAGTTGGCAAACCAAACGGACATGTGTCTACTGAAATGAAATAGGATACGAACTATTTGATAAATATGAACTTTATAGGAATTTTGAAAAAAACGAATCTTTTAAATATCTCAGATCCTAAGTTGTGCAGAATTTTCGAATATACCGTGAAAGTTCTATTAGAATTACCGGTCTTTCAATTGTTACAAGGGGCCCTTCAATAAGAGGACTTCTTCTATTTTTTTTTAGGCATTTCTTTAAAAATTCAGTGTGATTCTCGTTAAAAATTCATAGAAACCTAAAATTAATTTCATCGAAATTTGAGCAAAAAAAGTTTTTCAACAAATAATGAAATTTTGGAACGTTGGGGTCATTTTTATATTTTTCATTGTTTCGAAACCATGTACTATTTGATAAATTCCTCGGTTTGGTTTACAGGGTGGCTGAAAAGTATTGAGACACTTGTTTTTTGTTGTATTTTCAAAAATGGAGTTTCAACAAAAGAACCAGATTTATTTTTTCAACAAATGATAGTAATAGAAAAGATATCAGAGGAGATATTCGAAGTTTGAGCCTTCGGCCTTGATGCACGCCTTCAAACGAGCTGGAACAGAAGCGACGGTGCGCCGGAGGTAGTCATCGTCAAGATCATCCCATGCTTTGAGCAAAGCGGCCTTCAGTGAATCCACATTTGGGTGCGATCGAGCCATCACCTTTTCCTCCAAATATCCCCAAACGGAAAAGTCGAGTGGATTCAGATCGGGCGAGGAAGCGGGCCACATGTCCTTGCCCCAGTAGCCAGGGAAATGAGCGTCGAGAACAGCTTTCGTGGATTTCGAGCCATGGGACGGGGCCCAATCTTGTTGAAGAATGAAGGGTTGCTGGCCAAAGTGGCTAGTGACCCACGGACGTAAAACATCCATCAACACCAACTTTTGGTACACATCCGAGTTGATTTTCACATTTCTATCAATGAAAACCAATGGGACTTTACCTTCCGACGTCAATCCAGCCCACACCATCACTGACTTTGGAAAAAGTCTCTTGTAGGCCAGACGACGTTTTGGGGACTTTGCTTCGTCCTTTGACAACAATTGCCGAGCATTCTGTCGGTTCGGAAGCGGCTCAACCGTAAAAATTTTCTCATCAGTCCAAATGACTTCAGAGAGGCGGCGCACCTTGAGTGCGTCGAGCAACTTTTTCGCTTTTTCGAGCCGATTCTTCTTGGACTGTTCTGTGAGGTATTGGCCACGAAGGAGCCGATAACTGTTCAGACCCAAGTCCTTTTTCACAATGGATTGAACCGATTGTCTTGAGATTCCGAGCGATGAAGCCATTTGGTTCATGCTGACCGCATCATTTCGTGTGATTCTCTTCTTGATGATGCCACGAGTCCGGCGAGTGTTGACAGTACGAGGTCTTCCGCTTTTCTTAAGCTCCAACACATGTCCTCGATCTTTCAATTGTTGCACAACTCGATAGACAGTTGCTCTCGGAAGAAGAAGTCTTCGAGCGATGTCACCGGTGGAGATGCCGTCGTTGAACAGCTTGGCAATGGTTTGGCGATGAGGAGAAGCTCGCATAACTTCGTGAAGAGATAAAGTGATGGGAAATGGCTCTAATGTCGGCTTATATACGCTCCCTATTTTCGAAATAATACGAAACTTTTCGAAAATACGACTTGGCACGGTGCCAAGAGCCATCATAACAAGTGTCTCAATACTTTTCAGCCACCCTGTATAGAGATTTTGAATCAGAAAATTGTGTCTAAATATTTTCAATTTTATGAATTCTTTCAGAAGTTCCGTAAAAATTTTATAAGTGATGGCCTAAAGTACCTGTAGACGTAGGAGTAGGCAATTCAGAAGATACTTCTTAATAGAATTGAGATATGTAAAACCCGTATTAAAAGAGACCTCTCTAATTGAAGGGCCCTGCAGAGGTACCCCTTGGAACAATAGAAGGGCCGACCCTTTTAACACAGGTTTTACGGTAGTTCTTTTCAGAAGATACATGTCCTTATGGTTTCCCAACTGAATGCAAATCGACGTGTGGATGTTTCAGTTTATCGATTGATAATCAGAATATGACCCTTATTCCTTATTCATTCTTCCGGATTTTCAAAAATTATATTCCGCTCATGTTTTATTCCGCGGCGCCGCACCCTCAATCCTCGCCCTCACAAGTTCAACTCCTCGAGGGGCGTATGTAAACGGAATTTCGAGACTTTTTTTTCGTGTGTCCCCACCTTTAACCACCTAAACATTTTTCAGTGCGATTTTTAGCAGAATTCCGAAGTTTCCTTCTAAATGTCAAATTGATTTTTCAAAATTGCACTGTTTCAAAACATTTGTAAAGTTTCCTCACCATCCCGTGATAGTAATATAATGTTAAACTTGGGTCTTTGTCATCTTTTCAGAATGTTCAATTTCTGCAGCTGAGCTTATTGATTTTGTCTCAATCCCACTATCGTTCGCATAACTATCCCTTCCGGTTAAGAGAGATAATTGAGTGGAACGACCGGAGAATTTCGAATTCTCCATTTCAGATTCCAATGAACCAGAGAGAGAGAATCAAAGGACATTAAAAAGTGATATTTTCAGATGGCCTGTAAATGTCCAGAACAAAACTCACTTCTCAAATTACCTAACTTCTCTATTAATACTGATTCAGTTTCAGCGAAATTATTTCAGATGGAAAAAAATTTAAATCTGGAATTCCAAGAAAACGGGAAAGGTTCATTTTCAAAGTTTCAGGGTTTCAATTTCAAACATCAAACTTTTGAGGAAGCCCTCTATTAGAGGGGCCCTTCTAATATAGGTTTACATTTTTCAGACTCCGGGAAGATTTTTTTCAGGCCATCTGAAAATATCACTTTTTAATGTCCTTTGATTCTCTCTCTGGTTCATTGGAATCTGAAATGGAGAATTCGAAATTCTCCGGTCGTTCCACTCAATTATCTCTCTTAACCGGAAGGGATAGTTATGCGAACGATAGTGTTATTGAGACAAAATCAATAAGCTCAGCTGCAGAAATTGAACATTCTACACGCACTGAATGACAGAAATCTTTGAGAGAATAAAGTTTATTACTGAAACATAATTTTTTGACATGACTAATAATTTTCAGCTCAATTACAACAAAAATCTTTGAAAAAATTCGTTCATTCGAAGTTCAACAAAAATATGACAGTAAATCCCCAAAGAAAACCAAAAAAAGAAAAATATAAAAACAGGAAATTCTTGCAAAATCACAATTACAATGCGGAAAATAAGACTATTATTCATCTTGTCCTAATTTCGGGACAATATCAAACATTCAATTTCAAAAATTTTAATATGACCAATTTAGTTTTTGCAACTGTAATAATACAAGTACTCAGTCGAGTTCTTGATCCAGTTTGTCCCATTGCACTTATAAAATCCATGTTGTGCATAACCTTTCTGAAAAAAGGAATTATTTGTCTATAAGAATTTTCTTAATTGCCCAATTCTCTTGGATTTCCAATTCTGCGTCTTCTTCCTTATAAGTAAAAAGTGTCGGTGAACC